GGGGAGGAAGGTGTGGAGGGCAACCATGGATGCCAGGGACAATGGGGGAGGAAGATGGGACATAGCAGAGGGTGGGGGATGGGGAATCAGGGATGGCAAGACAAAGGGCAAGGTATGCAGGACGTAAGAATTGGAAAACTATTTGCTGAGAACATGTATGTGGATGTGCTTGATTGAGCCAATGCACAGTGTATTTTGGATGGAAAATTCATTTGTGTGTTGTGATGGTGTAAAGTGAATTAATAAAAAAAAAATTATAGTTTTTTGCATGTGGTATTAGAATGTCTCAATTCTGTTTGGTGGAATGGCACTATTAACTACTTTTACTAAGATTATCTGTTGGCTAGAATTTGTACATCTGTTATTAATGTTCTCCTAAAACATTTCTGGGTGGCTGCTTGCCAATACACTTTTGAGTTGATATTTTAAAACATTAATTCATGCATTAATTCATATTCAATGCAGATTGTTGAAATAAAGTTGAATATTTAACTATGCCTGCCTAATGACTGTTTGATACCTGACAGCAAATATACAACCTGTTCTGTATTTGATGTTTCCATATGTTATCATATATTGTCAAGAAAAGATTTCTCTTACATACTTGAGTTCAATTTATATATAGCTATCTTGGGTCAGTAGGTGCCGTGGTGGTTAAGTGCTGGAATCCCACACAGCAGTTCAAGTCCTGGACCTGGAAGCTTAAAACACCAGGTACAGGTGCACACGTGTTCAAAATCCCTAGAGGAGAATGGAGAAGAAGGGATTGTGGTATTGCCATCCTCCCTGGGTGGGTGATTTCTCATTTCACCTCCCTCTGCCTCTCTCTCTCCCTCTCTCTCACTTTTTCTGGTTAGCATACACACTCTCTGGTGAAAACCCCAAAATAATTTATATATGGTTATCTTATTTTGTATTGTAAGCAAGGATTTATTCGTGTAAAAATCTTTACCTTAATCTATTATTTAGGTCAGTTGATAATTTAATTCTATAAATGCTTCTACATATAAAAAAATATGGTACCAAGAACTTTTTGATTAATCACATGGAAAAAGTATACAAAATTATAGTTATGGGTCAGCCGTGGCATGATGGTTAAAGCAGCTAGATTCCACATGGCCGACTGTACGGTTCGAGTCCTGGACCTGGTGACTTAAAAGACAAGCTGAGCATGTGTGTGTGCATATCCAAAATCCAGAAAGGAGAATGGAAGAAATGGGACTGTGGTGTGGTCATCTCCCATAGGGGGTACTTTCTCACTCCCCACACTCACCTTCTCTCTGATAAGCATGTACACCCTATACCAAATAAAAAGCAATTAAAAAAAACTAAAAATGGGTCAGCAGATGGTGAAGGAATTTGGCTCCTACATGGCTGATCACAGTTCACATCCTGGCCCCAGTGGCTTAAAAATCAAGCCGAGTGTGTGTGCATATGTGTCCATAATCCTGAGGACGGATGAGAAAGAACTGTGGCATGGTCATCCCCCCCGGGAGGGGGTGTGTCTCATTTTCCTCTTTCTTCTCTTTCTGTCTCTCTCTAGTGAGCATACGCACCCTATGGAATAAACCTTAAAAAAAATGAATAAAAGTAAAACTCTAGAAAGATTTTAGCTAGACTACATATATCCTACCCTGGCTCAATGACTAATCGTCTAAGATACTGACACCCTGTATTTAGTTTACACCTTAGTGCATGCAGTACTGTTGAAAAGAAGTCATGAGATGAAAAGATAAAATTGTCTTTAGAAAGCATAAAAGCATTATATAAGAAAAAAATTATTCCATAAATAACCTGCTTCATTATGAGAAATTTTGGGATGCTATGATAGATTGCTAGGTTATTATCCAGATAAAGATGGTCCCTATTAGAATTTTAGTGACTTAGACAATATTCTACCCATATTAATGCATATTCCCTGGAATGACCTTTTCTGTATTTACTTTTTGCTTTAGAGTGTGTATGCTTGCCAGAGAGAGACGGACGGAGGGCGGGCGGGAAAGTGACTGAGAAAGCACCCTGCAGAAGGGACAGCCAATGCTGCAGTTCCCCCTCTCCCACTCTCCTCTGGGGATCCTGGGGAAGCACGCACATACACGTGCCAGTGTGTCCCAAGTCACTGGGTCCAGGACTTGACCTGTGCAGTCAGTCATGTGGGATCCTGCTGCCCTGTCACACTATCACTGACTGTTTTGGGTCCTGGCTACTAATCAGAAACAAAACATAACAAAATGAAACAAAAAACTCTAGTAGTATGTATGAATATTTAATGAAAAGAGGAAAGCATTATTTAAATTTTAGATAGTACCTAGCTCTGGAATCAGAGCTTAGCTTAAATATCACCTCTGCCACTTACTAGTTGCTTTGTATTAGCAACTGCTAAACATGCATGTTAGGTAGCCATACCTCATAGATTCAAATTCTAATTTTTCTGTTTACCAACTATGTGATTGAAAGCAAGTTACTTAATCTTTCTATGCCTATAAACTGGAAAATGACTTCTATTACTACTACTAATAGGATATTTCACATACAGTCACTTTCAAAATGAAATGAAATGAAGTTTTTTTTGGCATAGTGTCCTGTACTGAGTATATACATTGTAGATTGTAGTTGTTGCTAATACACATATGTATATATCCAATATTTCATTTTTTTAACATATATATTTTTTCTTTTTTTATGGTAACAACTATGTGAACAACTTCTTTGGCTAATGCTTCTAACACACACACACACAGATACACACATATAAACATGCCTAGTGTGATTAAGTCACTGGGGCTGAGACTTGAGCAGCTGCTAGCCATGTGGGATCCAACTCCCTATGCACAGGGCTTAACAGTGTTAAACCTGCTGTGCTACAGAGCTGGTCCTGAACTATGTATTTTAACCTTATATTTGCTAACCAAAGCATGCCTGAATTTGCTTCAGGAAAATATCCAGTCCTACCTTTACACTGCATTCCTTGGCGAAAGAGGCCTTTCAGTAACCGCTTGCAGTACTGACATATCGTGGGACGGGCATAAGAGTGAACAGCAAATGTGTGTGGAACTTTCACTCTGCACATCACCATCTTTTCCATCCAGATTGGACGACCGCTCCAAGAAGGAATTCTCTTACTTGGCTCTTGAACATGTGCCTAAACATAGGTAATGTCCATAAGTCAGTATTAAAAAGAAAAGTATTGGGGGCAGAGCTTAACCATAAAAGTCATTTATTTGAACTGCGAAAGCCAAAAATCCAGTGAGGATCTCAGCAGTTTCCTTTGGAAAGTTTAATTTATCAACCCTTGAATGAGAAAAGTGTGAATTTCTCTTGTGCTATTATTTATGCTAAAAGAAAAAAGGTAAGATATATTCACTGTTATTTGCCAGGCATATTTAGAATAAAAAAAATATATGCAAAGGTTGACATAAGTTAATTTATAACAGATGTTCAAATTCTTTCAAAAATCTGACTAAGGAATTCATCACAGGAAAAGTAAATAAATTTAGAAAATATTATTACTGGTCAAGTTACAATTACTGAATATGATAAAAAATATTTAAAATAAATCTTAGATTTTTCAAATTTATCTTAATAAATACTGAAATACGTATATAAAAATTTAAGCCCATAAATGATAATCATAATATTAATGGCAGATATAAAACTATAACAACTTTAGGTCTAGTAACTATGCTTTAAGAAGTTCCTTGATACTGGGACCAGCAGGTAGCAGAATGGTTATGGTTATGTTGCCGATCTTGGCTGATCGTAGTTGGAGTCCCAGACCTAGTGGCTTAAAACTCATGCTGTGTGTGTGTGTCCAACATCCTGAGAGGAGAATGGAGGAGAAGGGACTGCAGTGTGGTCACCTTCCCTGGGGGGGCAGGGTGATTTCTTGCCTTTTGCCTTTAAGACGAGCGCATGTGCCCTACAGCAAAAATCTCTTAATATTAAAAAAAAAAAAAAGACGTTCCTTGATATTTTAACTGTTTTCCAGCTGTTCAGGTTTTCTTTTCTTTTTTTCCCCCCTTTTTAGAGATGTTTTTGCTATAAGGGCGTGCACACTCACTCACCAGAGGCATGGAGAGAGAGAGAGTGGGAAAAAGTGTGGCCCCAGGGGGGATGGCCACACCACAATCCCTTCTCCTTCATTCTTTTCTTGGAATTTTGGGCATGCGAACACATGTGTCTGATGTGTTTCAAGCTGCCAGGTCCGGGACCTGAACTGTGGTTGGCCATGTGGGAGTCCAGCTCCTTAACCACTGTGTCACCTGCTGACACTGCTGTTTAGGTTTTTTATCCTCAGGTAAACAATATGCAAAAGTAAAGTCAGTGTCAATTAAAAACATTTGTGAAATCTAAGGTACAAGTGGATTTCTGTAATTACTGGGTCATTAGGAAAGTCATGACAGATTTTTGCATAGAAAAACAGAAAATATGCGTGACTTTCTTGAATACCTAATATAAAAATGAAATACTCAAACTAAGTTATAAGCCAGTTCATTTGGCACATTCCACTTGTTCAACAAACATACACTGACTTAATTATCTGCCTGGTTTTATACTACAAACTAGGGACATGAAAATGAATAAAACATAAGCCATGTCCTCAAGCACAAAATCCAAATACTTAATTACCACCTAAATGTATTAACAGATTTTGCTGTGCCTGTTTATGTCTTCATGGCCAAAACTGAATTCCTGAGAGTTTCCAGATGCCTCCTAAAAGCTAGCAACATTCCCAACTCAAAGTTGAGTCATTCTACATTGATATGTCTAACCAATGGAAGCAAAACAAGGCAGAAGGAACCAAGAGAAAGAGAGGTGTAAGGGAGAAGTAAGAGGAGGGGGAAAAAGCAAAAGCAGGAGAAAAAACAGGAAAAGAAGAAGAAAAAGATGAGTAGGGAACACTGTAGATAAAAAAAGAAATGTAGTCTCAGATCAACAGTTTTTTCCTAATGTGTAGCCAGTAATTTTCTAAAATGAATTATGAAGCAGTTTAATTCAGAAACAGTACAAGGAGAATATTACAACTCAAAGCACACTTATATGCCTCAGCTATCCAAGGTGCCCCACTCTAGTTAGTTCAGCCTCCTCTGTGCTGCCATGTATGGGTCACTGTCAGCAAACGGGACAGTGAACCTGCAAAGCTGATGCAGACAAGAGATGTCTTGGGCCTTTGCTCATCCCTGGCTCCCCAATCTGGTGGTGCCCTAACACTGTGCTTCACTTGCTCCTGCTTCTACCACTTTGGGTTTGGTTTGGCGCATGTTCAAAAACACATGTGCTGGATTAGGATTGATTCAGTCAATCACAGGGTACCCCGGTGAGGGAGAGATTTCTAAATAGGCCCCTTCATATGCCAATGGCCAGATAGGGACTGCTTTCCGGCAAGGCCTGCTGGGTAGGGGTCTTAGGATAAGGTATAGGCCATGTGCCCAAGAAACTATTCTGACTGTGGCTATAGCAGATGCCTAATTTTTTTTTTTTTTTGAGAGGTTTCTGCTATAGGGTGCATGCACTTGCCAGCCAGACAGAGAGAGACAGAAAGCGAGAAATCATCCCCAAGGGGGGATGGCCACACTGCAATCCCCTCTTCTCCATTCTCCTCTCAGGATCTTGGGCACACACGCATGCACGCCCAGGGTGAATTTAAGCCACTGGGTCTGGAACTCGAACCGCAGTTGACTATCTGGGAGCCCAGTGACATAGCTATTATGCTAACTGCTGGTCCCACAGATGCCCAATTTCTTATGTCCATTACAATAGTTATTTATGTTGCTATCCCATTTTAAGTATTAAAAAAAAAGACTCAACAGCATCAGTACTACTAAGTGGTATTCTTAGTATAAAGACTTAAAGTTAGGTCTTTAGCAGTACAGCTCAATGATTCTCAAGCTTCTTCCATCTCCAGATAGCTGGGCATATAATATAATCCCATCAGTTACAGGCTTTGCCACTTCACCTCAAGGCAGGGAAGATTTAGCAGACTTAATAATAATCTGAAGGAGCTTGTTGGAATTATCTAGAAAACTTGGTTAAAATGGGATCAGAGATTAGAGTAACCACAATTAAGTGAAAGTTCTTTTCTTACCTGTCCTCTATTTACAAGTTAGTGCTTAATTTAAACTGTAATCTCTTTCCTATTAAGGTGAAGCAAACATTTTTCTAAATATCTGATTATTTCCTCAGTTTAGGCTTTAGTTACCATTTGCTGGAGTAACTGCTCATCAAAACCTTGTACCAATATTGCCAACTCTCAATTATGCAGTTGACCCTTGAACAATCCTGGGTTTACGTGTGCAGACCCCCATGGAGTAGAAGATCTGTGTGTAACTTTTAACTCCCCCCAAATTAAATATACCACAGTCTTTTAATTTTTAAAGACATTTATTTATGAGACCAGCATATGGTGTAATGGCTACATTGCTGGACTCCCATGTAATCGACCTCAGTTTGAGTCCTGAACCCTCTGACTTAAAACTCATGTCTAGTATGTGTGCGTGCGTGTCCAAAATCCTGAGAGGAGAATAGAGGAGAAGGGATTGCGGTTGGGCCATCTCCCCTGGGGGGTGATTTTTCACTTTCTACCTGTCTGTCTTTCTGGTGAGTGCATGTGCCTTACAGAAAAAAAATCTCTCTTTAAAAAAAGAAAAGTATTATTTATTTACCTACTCAATTGCCGTGATTTTCAAGCCGCTAGGTCTGGGGCTCCCTCTCCTTTACACTGTCCTTTCTTCCCACTCTTCCTTCACTCTCATTTCCTTCCAAGAGCTCTGCTCTTGCTCTACCTCTTTTTTGCGAGACTGAATGCTGGGATCTTCTTAGATCTTCCACTCTACAAGTTCTACTGGTTCTAAAACACTTTGAACAATCATGGTATTTCAAACACGTCATTCTACTTCTTATACTTCACTAAGAAGTTTTCATCATCAGGATAAAATATAAACTAATGAAGTAACACATAATCTTATCCATCTGTTCTATCCTTTGCTATTCCCTAATCAAGCAGTAGTCATCTAGGGGCAGCTGGCACACCAGTGTCATTTGTGGGGCTCTTAAAACAATATGCCTCTACCAATAGTCCTCATTCCCAGGTAAGTGCCCTGTGCATGTGGTGCAAAAAACACCTGCTTTTCTGCTTCTAATACTTTCCCATATGTTTATAATAACTGCTCACTCTCAGTCTCTTCTACCTCAGCACTCTTACTCTACTTTAAAAATCTCACATTAGGCCTACGCCATAAGTAAATATGGGATTTGTTTTTAAAGAAAGAGATTTTTTTGCTATAGTGTACGTATGCTTGCTGGAGAGAGAGACAGAGAGACAGAAAGCAAAAAAATCACCCCCCCGCCCCCAGGGGGGATGGCCACCCTGCAATCCCTTCTCCTCCATTTTCCTCTTGGGATGTTGGGCATACACACACGTGCCTGGCATGAGTTTTAAGCCACCGGGCCTTGACTTGAACCGTGGTGAACTATGTGGGAGTCCAGTTATGTAGCCATTACGCCATCTGCTGGTCCTGTGAATATAGGATTTTTGTGAAAGGATATCAGATGCTTTTACTCTAATGTCTTGGATTAGCAAAATCTGTGACTAAGATTTTAAGACAAAAGCCCAAAGCCCTGACTTTGCCATTAATTCACAGAAGACGAAGGAGGTAATAGAAACAACTAGATGATAAGATTAGAATATGTGGATGGAAGTCATTTCAAGTACTATCAAATGCATGAAGGAGTTATTTCTTTCTTTCCTGATGTACTACCCTTACCTTTGACAGGCATCTATCAGGAAAAATGACTGATTTAAGAATGAGATCTGGATTTCTCTCATCTCTTCCTAACTTGCTATGTGACTTCAGACAAGTCACTTAACCATTTAGCAACTCAATTGTCTCGTGTATACAGATCTACTGATACATCTCATATTGTGAGGATCAGTGGACTCATTCACTCACCACTGAGTACCAGAGATTGTGTGCAGGCATGATGGGTCACAGAAAGACACAAACAGTGCATTCTCTAAATAGATCGTAAACTCTCTGAGGACAATCTAGTATTCAAACACTATGATAACAGGTAGAATGTTATACATACAATAGAGAGGTCTGAAGAGTGTGATGGCATCCTGAAAATAAAGTAACTTCTAGAGTAAGGGGAAAGTCAGGAAAGGTGGCTCTTGAGCTAGGCCTGGAAAACCATGTAGGATGGACAACAACAAGAGCAAAGGCAGGGGGAACAAGAAGGTGGTCAGGGAGTGTTGACAGGGGCAGATCATTAAAGCCAAGACTGTACAAGACTCTACTGCAGTGATACAATCAGAATTGTATACTGGAAGCTTGATGTGGCTGTAGTGTGTAAAAGATGAAGTAAAGTAAGACAACCAGAAGCCTATATACTGATTAGAAAGCTGATATTTCACATGATAAATAACATGATCCCAATGTGAACAAAATATAATTCATTACTATTGGTAAGTCTTGTCTGATTATTACATTTTAGGTTTCTCAAGTGTATGAACATTACTATTCTTTAGTATGTCAGTTATATTCTATTAATAGTATGATATCATATACCTTACGGAAACAAAAGGAATAACTAATAAAATATCCTTCTATTACTTTAGAATACATACCTCCTCACTGGGAAGGGCTACATATTCAGGCTGCAGGAGTCTTGGAACCGAGAGGCCAGGACCTGGTAGAGATATATTTGACAGACGCCTCTTTCTTACTCCACTGCAGTTATTTGGAATCTTGAAGGCACATCTTTTATGATAATTTAATCCACAGCCTAAATATATTTTAAAAAGTAAAAAATAAGATTATGAAAACTTTACTATTCAAGTGTGATACATAAAAATAGGTGCTTTGTTATTTTCTCTGGCAGCAATACCTACCCTAATCAAGAACCCAGATGACAGGCTGAATGGAAGTATATAAACTCAAGAATAGCAAATGTATAGACAGGTATATTTAGAAAGGTTAAGTTAGCTGGAGCAGAGATTGCTGAAGTGTGATCCCTTAGGCAGTCACCTGGGAATTTGTTGCACATGTGCATTACTGGGCACCTGAGACCTGCTGAAGTAGGCACTCTGGAGACAGGGCCCAGTGAAATACGTTTATGATGCCTGGTAGTTCAGGAACACTGGCAAAAAGCAAACTGTGGCCTGTGTTCTGCGTTTCCCATGATGTGAAAGTTGTATGGAACTTAGATTTCAGTGTTCATAAATGCAGTTTTATTTGAACACAGTGATACCCATTTGTTTACATATCATATATGAATAATTTCAAACTATAACAGCAGAGTTAAGTTAGGACAGAGACCCCAAGGTCAGCAAAGCCTAAAATAGTTACCCTCAGGCCCTTCACAAAGCTTATTGACCTGCCACCTTAGAGGATTGTTACTTGGTCAGAAATGTACACCTGCAAACCATCCCCAGCCATTATAATTCAGAACTTGGATAACTTTGTTGTATCTAAAAGATTGAACTTTTTATAAAAAATAGAGGCTTTTGCCTTAGGGCACATGCACTTGCCAGACAGACAGAGAGAGACAGAGAGACAGAAAGCGAGAAATCACCCCCCAGGGGGGATGGTCACGCCGCAATCCCTTCTCCTCCATTCTCCTGGGATCTTGAGCATGCACACACATGCACCCAGCATGAATTTCACACAACTAGGTCCAGGACTTGAGCCATGGTTGGCCATGTGGGAGTCCAGCGATGTAACCACTATGCCATCTGCCAGCCCCAAAACTTACTTTTTTTTTTTTTTTTGGAGAGGTTTTCGCTATAGGGCGCGTGCACTTGCCAGACAGAGAGAGACATAGAGACAGAAAGCGAGAAATCACCCCCCAGGGGGGATGGTCACGCCACAATCCCTTCTCCTCCATTCTCCTCTTGGGATCTTGGGCACGCACGCACACGTGCCTGGTGTGAGATTTAAGCCACCGGGTCCAAGACGCGAACCGCGGTCGACTACGTGGGAGTCTAGCGACATAGCCATTACGCTAACTGCTGGTCCCCCCAAAACTTACTTTTAAAAGACAGTAACAATGTAAGGAATTTGGTATTTATTGACCTACTACTTTGTCTACTTTGTGCCTATTACCTTATTTAACCATTTACTATTCACAAAGCCAATGGGTAGAATATATTTTTCAGAGAAATTAGTCCTTGGAGAAGTTTAGAAGTTGCTCAAGAATATAAAGGAGTAGGTGGTAGAAGTCAAATCAGAGTTCCGATCTTTCCAATTCTAAATCCTGATTACTATCTTGTCACCGATTAATATCCTACTGATAATAATTACTATTTTTCACTGGTAGTTAGAGAACATTAATGTGAAATCTTACTTCAAATAGCCACAAACATCTTAGAAGACATACCTTCACATTTCAGTCCCTGACGTACCAGTCCCCAGAGCATCTCGCCACAATAATCACAGAAGGTAGGAGCTTTGTAAGAATGTACATAGAGAGTATGTGGACGGATCTGGAAGTCTTCTACGGTAGCCAAAGCTTTTAAAGAAGAACAATATTAAAATAAACCTTACATCTATAATTGCAGTAAGATTAGGAATGCTTACCATGTTCATTTATGTCTAAATTCACGGAATTGTTTTTTCTCTGAAAGTTGCATAGAACCAAAAAATTATTTTCAGTATTTAATACTGTGGCTTTTTAAACTCTAATTTAAAATAACTTCAAGTCCAAAAGCAGGTCTGTAAGTTAGGTACTTACACATCCAAAAGCATTTTCTCATAATGACAAGTCTACAAATAGGTTAGGTCTATGTCAGCCAGTCAAGAACTATTTTATGTAAGGGAACACAGAACACTGAAGTGAAACAAACAAGAAACAGGTACTTTGTGAACTAAACCTCAATTTACAGCAATGTTTCTGTGGGAAAAAGGCACTGAGTTCTAACTTAGGAACCCAGGATATGCTGACTGTTCTAATGATTAAGAGCAAGATTCCTCAAGCCTCGGAAAGCAAAGGAACAGCAGACACAAAGACCCTCCTCTCACTTCGACATGCACAACGCTTGTTAGTGGATAATCCTGAGCTCTGTGAGGGTCCATAGCAAAGGAATGAACCTGAGACTGACCTCCAAGGAGGCCCCGAGCTGATGCCCTCGGGGGTGAAGAGGAAGACAAAGATCGGGAAGTAGGTGGAAGATTTGGGATTGTGGTGTGGAAGATGAATGGTCAATGTAGGGAGTGGCAGAAGAAGGGGAGGATCAGAAATAGAAGGTGAAAGGAGTGGGGACTGAAAACAAAGGATTTCAAGAATAGGCTCAAAGGTGAGTTTGGGAAGAAGGAAAAGGGGAAGCAGGATCCTGGACACATGGCTGGCCTGTCTGCTTCCTTTTCCCACCAGTCCACTTCACTTGCCAAACAAGCAGTACTGCAGACCTACTGTGCACGTTATGGTGCTCCTTCTTCCTCTACACTCCTTACTAGCAATCTGGCCCACGTGCTACTGGACGGGATCAGAGCAGAAGCTAAAGAAGAAGAAATGGCAAGAATGGGCGAGGCAGGAAGACAACAGAAACAGGAAATGCCCACTGAATAAAAAGGGAAGGAGCATTTCAAGTCATGGAAATAACTAGTGTTGTAGTTTCACCTCTCATCTCTATTATTTCTCCTTTTTTTCCTAATTCACTTTTGTGAACATCAATTCTCTTTTTTCCATGGTCTTTATAGAAATTGGGAAAAGGCAACAGAAGTTTAGCATATTTTATCTTATTTATATATTTAGAAGATTACAGTCCCCTTTCAGTTCAATTGATAAATCCCTTAGATTAGTAACACAAATAATTCATTTTTTTCCTACTTTCTCATCAGTGATACAACCTTCAAAGTAAGAAACATGAAAGTTAAAAATCACATGGTAATTTACAGATGAGAGTAAGCAACAGCAGTACAAAGATTAAGTGTAAGAGAACACACTTAGTATAGAAAACCAGATTCTTTGCGGAAAAAAGGACAAAATAAAACAAGTTATTTATTTACCTGAAAGAACAACTTCTACCAGGTCTCCTTCATGTATTTCATCTGCTGAGGTAATCAGCTGCAAAATATTTTCTGAGTTCATGTCATGGCGAAAGAGAAGAATTTTATCATACATGCCAAAAAATCCACACTCCGGAAACTGTGGGAAAACAGTACTATATTAGTATATCTATAGCTTTCTGGTCTTATAACAATCTCAGTCTTAAATGAATGTTAAATGTAGTGTGTTAGCCTAATACTACTTTACTAATTAGGGACTTAATATCTGAAAAGTGATTCATGTACTCAAGCATCCTCACTGATTTCAAAAATAGAAAAGTGAATTTACAAATAATTAACTATTGATTATCTTAAAACATTCTCTCAGAAATACAGGATTCAGTTACTGATGAAGAATATAATCTTAAATACATCTATTGTATTCTTAACCTGAAAGAGAGGAGTCTCCTCTTTTCTAGGACTGTACTAATACATGGTTAGCTACAAGCCACATGTAGTTGTTTAAATTAGAAATAATTAACATTATATAAAACTAAAAGTTTACCCTCAGCCACTCCAGCCACATTATAAGTACCCGACTTCCACCTTGGCTTCTAGCCCAATTTGCAGCTCTCCTTTAGCATCAGTCTAAGGTCTTATGGCATAGGTTGTTAGGTTCAGATGTCAACCTAACTTTATCTTATATTCTGACCTTAATTTTCCATTAGAAAAATCATGTATATATCTCTAAAGAGTTCTTTTTTTTTTTAGGTTTTTGCTATAAGGCATGTGTGCTCGCCAGACAGACAGAGAGACAGAAAGCAAGAAATCACCCCCCAGGGGGGATGGCCATGCCGTCTGTTCTCCTCTTGGGATCTTGGGCATGCACGTACACACGCCCAGTGTGAGTTTAAGCTGCCGGGTCCAGGACTCGAACTGCGATCGACTACATGGGAGTCCAGCGACATAGACATTATGCTAACTGCTGTTCCCTCTAAAGAGTTCTTAAGGCTTTTTTTTTTTCCCTTTCCAATTGCCAGAGGGCATGTGCACTCACAAGAGAGGCAGAAGGACAGGGAGAAAGCACCTCTCAGTGGGGTGTGGTCAATATCTTAATACCTTCTCCATTTCTTCATCCTGTTGAGATTTTTGGCCACCCATGCACTTGTGTGCAGTGGGTTTTTCAAGCCCCCAGGCTGGGATTCAAACCACATCAACCATGTGGGATCTGCCTTCCTTAACTACCAGGCTATGGGGCCAGCTATCAAATCTTTTTTTTTTTTTTTTTTTTTTAGAGATTTTTGCTACAGGGTGCATGCACTCACTAGAGAGACAGAAAGCAAGTAATCACTCCCCCACAGGAGATGGCCACACCACAATCCCTTCTCCTCCTGGGATTTTGAGCACACATGCACACATGCCTGGCTTGAGTTTCAGGCGTTTGGGTCTGGGATTCGAACTGTGACTAGACGTGTGGGAGTCCAGGGATGTAACCATTATGCCATCTGCTGGTTCCTTGAATCTTTTTTCTTTAATTAAATTAAAGAAAAAGTCTAACAATGACTTAGAAAGTTAAGAATTTATTTGTACATTTTAAGCTGGATAAATAATGGGAAAGTACAGAAACATTTAGAATTTTTACAATACTAATTCTTTCAATTATTTGAGTTACCAATAATATTCACAAAATTTCATAATATACTTCAACAGGATCAGAATTCTCAATTGAAAACAAAAGAGTAAATACTTAGGATAAGCAATTCCTAAACTTTTATAAAAATTTAAAATTAAAATGTTACTAAATTGTTTTGAGAGAAATTTTTGCTGTAGGATATGTGTGTTCACTGGACAAAAAGAGAGGGAGAGACAGAGAGACAGAAAGTGAAAAATCACCCCCTATGGGGTATGGCCATGCAGCAATCTCTTCTCCATTCTCCTCTCAGGATCCTGGGCACACACACACATGCGTCTGGCCTGAGTTTTAAGTCACCGGGTCCAGGACTTGAACTGTGGTCAACTAAGTGGGAGTCCAGTGACGTAACCATTATGCTATTTGCTGATCCCAAAATGTTATGAAATTTTTTCAATTATTATTAAATTTTAAAATAAAGTACTCTCGTAACTTGTCTGCAGTAATTCTTAAAGGGTCAACAACAACAACAACAAAAACTCCATGTTCCATCCTTATAAAAGTAAAATCTCCAATAAACTATATAAATGAAATTGATTTGTAAGAGTCACATTTCTTTTGTTTGTTAAGCATGAGATATTAGCCACAGTTTCTAAAGACAATCTTTATATTCCAGGAGAAAACCAACTACTAAGAAACAGAAATAAACAAAAACATACAAAATAAGGTAAATGACAGAAATGAAACATGAACAAAATTAACAAAAATTAAATAAAATTCTAGACTAAGAGAGAATAAAAAACTTCATGGAAGGTGGAATAGAAGGCTATGTCATATTTGAGTAGTACTGTGAAAAAGAGAAACAGAGTTTCCACTGGCTGAAAGTGAAAATGTTGAGTGTCATCTTTGAGAAAGCACATGGTAAATGGAAGAAGGTAAGTGGAGTCTGAGAAGAATGAGGTTAGAGAGGAGAGCTGAGTAGAAAAAAGGGAAAAAAATGCACATGGGACCCAACCAAGGCCATTCTAAGGGAGACACCTGGGAGTCCAGAGTTGGTTCAAGCTTTGCAAGCTGCTAACTAGAGCACCTTAGATAGTTGCTTCACCTCTTTACATTCGTTTCTTGTTTAGAAAGTTGGGATAACAGGAATATGGGCTTTATGGGGTTCTGTGAAACTAAACTACTCGATGGCTATAAGACTTCAGCATTATGACCAATGAATGCTAATGTTTACATTATTATTTTATATACAAGAGGAAGAAACAAAGGGTCCTAGAGCAAGGCAGTCACACAATCAAATCTGAATTTTAAAAACATACTGCCAATAGCACTGTGTGGGAGAACTAGAACAGGAAGAGACGATGTACACTCCTGCAGAAAAGCTGAAGATATGTTAGAAAAGATTTATCAGGGTTTGGATTACATAGTAAAGAGAATTGAGAGATAAAGAAGGAGACTTCTCTCTGGAGATGATCTTCGATGAATCGTATGGACTGTTAATACTGCTTTGACCAAACCGGAAGTCATTAGTATCAGTAACTCAAGAACTGACTAATAAACATACCAACAAGAGAAGAAAACAATATCAAATCAGTAAGTTTATGGCTTAGAAAAATAAATATGAAATAAACTTCTTGATAAATATAATACCTAGTGTATTTTTACCTTTTGAATTTTGAACCATGTGAATAGATTATTTATTCAAAATGAAATATAATCATAGTCTATATATTATACCTCAAAGTATAAAATAAATATCCACTAATCTATACTGGTATATGTAAATAACTGATAAGAGGGGAAATGAGTAAGTCTCCCATACAGAATTCCAAATATTGAGTGGTCGGAAAAGTCATGATGCATTTTTGCATAGAACATACAAAAAAAAGTCATGACTTTTCCAATGACCCAATAATTTATGTAGATACTCCACCTTAAGGAAAGGGAACATAACTTTCTATTTCCTAACTGGGGGTCTGCTCATAGTGACTTACTTCCAAAGAGTATGTCACTCTGAATACCACACAAAATTGGTATTAAGTGACCCAAGTAAAAAAAAAAAAAAAGTACATGGACTAAGAAATATCTACTTAAAATAAACTTTTCTGTATCAGATGCTGGAAAGCTACTGGTAATGATAACAAAACCATTTTCTGGGCTAGCAAATGTTTCCGTACTAAACCCATCTATACAACTGAAAAATTATAGAGTTCCTAAGGAAAAAAATGTAAGTATCCTGTGAAAAACTGATACCTGCTATTCGTGATTATGATTCATGGGTATGTTTGGAAGGATATTTAGGAATTATCTGAAAGCAAGACTCAGACTTAAATGAAATAACAATGTGGCCTGAGAAAAAGCAAGAGATTAAATATTGCCACTGATAATCAGGGAAACATTGTGGCCGAGGTTTAAGAATATGTGAAGTCTTGAGGCAGGCATATGTTAAAGATAAGATAAACACCTAGGAAAGAAGAAATGAACGAACAAAAAAACCAAGAGCACACACTTTAAAACTTTTACAAAACAGAAAGCAACCTATTAATTTGAACATACAAATACAAAGATTTACTGTTCATTTTTTTTTGGAGAGGTTTTTGCTACAGGGCGTGTGCGTTTGCCAGACAGACAGAGAGAGACAGTGAGAAAGAAAGTGAGAAATCATCCCCCAGGGGGGATGGCCACACTGCAATCCCTTCTCCTCCATTCTCCTCTCGGGATCTTGGGCACGCATGCATAGGCGCCTGGCGTGAGTTTAAGCCACCAGGTCCGGGACGTGAACCGCGGTCGACTACGTGGGAGTCCAGTGACATAGCCATTACGCTAACTGCTGGTTCTTGTTCATGATTTTTTAAAATTTAGAAATTAAGTTTTTCAGCAAGAATGAATTGCTAAAACAGTGTTTCAATTACAGCCATATATCAGAACCACCAGTGGAGCTTAAAACAAAAAAAAGACGCTCCACTTATTTATTTATTTTTAAATTTTATGTTGTTATTTTATTTTATTTATTTTTTTTGGAGAGGTTTTTGCTATAGAGTGCATGTGCTCACCATAAAGACAGAGACAGGGAGACAGAAAGTGAGAAATCACCCCCCAGGGGGGAAGGCCAGGCCACAATCCCTTTTCCTCCATTCTCCTCTTGGGATCTTGGGCACGCATGTATAGGCGCCTGGTGTGAGTTTAAGCCACAGGATCTGGGACTCGAACCACAGTTGACTGCATGGGAGTCCAGTGATATAGCCATTACGCCAAGTGCTGGCCCCTGCATTTCTTTTATTACAAAAAGTTGAAAATTTTCCCACATGTTTAAGACACACTCCTTTTCTGTAAATGAGTTATTCATATTCTTTGCCTCTTTTTAATGGATTGGTGATCTTTAAGCTCCAAATGCAACTATTCTCCTCAGACTGATACTCATCAGGTGGGAGGTGCTTATTAATAAAGCCTGCACAATATAGCAAAAGCCATAAACAAAACATGGTGGTTCGGTAGTAATACAGTACTGGGCAATGCCGGACCCACAGGGA